GCGCCCGCCACAATATCAAAACTGACCGCCACAAATAGATTTCCCAAAAGGCTTTAACGTTTCGTTGAAGGCACGTTTCAAAATTGAAACCCGGTGCGGGTGTTTTTATATCAATGTATTTCTGAAGGAACCCGACTGTCTTCAGAAAATTTTGGATGTCATTTTCATTTCATCTTGCATGTATTATCTGATAAAGCAGCATTTGTAAGTGGAGCGCTGCTTTGTGTACAGCGTTACCGGGGAAACCTTGATCTCTACCACTCCAACATCGCCTCCTGCTGGCAGAGAATGAGTTTGTATATATATACCTCCACAAGGGTGAGCGTGATTTGACCAAGTACAACATGTTCCTGGATCAACATCCTTGTTGATCCTGGAACATCATTCCAATCAACCAATCAGAATTGAGAGATAACTTTTCAGTAAATGTAATATTTACAGATACTAGTCCATATCGCGACTCTATTTAAGTGTACTGACCTACTTTTGATTAATTCATCCAAACAGTAAATTCCATTTATATGACTGAATTCCGCAATTCCGTCCACATTTTCTGCATCGCAGAAATCATAGATAATATTGAGGTGTTTTACAACTTCAGTGTAACGTTAGTGGATTGTGATTTATTGCAAATTAAACAACGTCTGCTGCTGCCTTACCTTTGAGAGACAACTGATGCGTGATCACTGAAGCAGCTCTAGTTAGCAAGTGCTTTCGGAGTGAGAGTGAATTCCGCATTGATTGGTCGGACTCGTGACTCCCAACAAATCAGATGGGCGATGGGCGGAGATTGCTTTAGGCCACAGAGTGGTGAGTTCTGACAGGCTGCATCAGAGCCAAATAGCGCGTTTCAAAATTCAGTTATTTTATCGGTGAATCGGTTTTGAAAATGACCGATACCGATAATCATAAAAATGCTTAATATCGGCGCCGATAATCGGTCGACCCCTACTCGAGGGAATACGTTTTTGTTTCACTGGAAGTATACAACCATGAATGTATGAAGGACACAGTCCCACACGTGTGTTAGTATACCTGGACCATACCTTATATCTGAAATGTTGTACTCCAGTCATAAACTAAAGCTATAGCTCAGCAGGAAATCTTTCATCAGTACAGTGCCTTAAGGTGCGCAGCTCTGTTAGGATCAGCACAAACTACTGCTTTATATGGCCTAGCAGAAGAAGGAAAATGTTGAGGAAAGCAATTCGACACACTTCATTGTAGGCATGTCTTCTTCATTTTAGGGCAGTGGATGTAGGTTTTAAGGTATGATTACTGTGTCAAAGTGCTCCATGGATTGACAGGATGAGCAGGTATTAAGTGGGGGTTGATCTCGTAACGTATCTTTTATAAAGTGTCTTGCTTGAAAGACAGGGGTCATATAAACCTAGACATTATCAGTAGCTGATTGAATCAACTTTGAACTGATAGAATGTTTTATTTTAGTGTTAAATTACACAGCTCTCTGAAACATTTGATTCTGTTTGGCTAGTCTCAACATTCCAAGGTTCATTTGTCTTGGCTTAAAGCCTCTTGCTAGGAACACAAATCAATATTTTGTGTACAGTTTTTACTTGTGTGCCAGGTAGCCATGTAATAAGTGGGATAATGTACATCCAGCTAGTATACATTATAACTTTGCGTCAGGGTCCTGATCACGCTGTCAGGGTTTATTCTGTGATAACAATCAGCTGGATGTACAATTCCCCTTCTTTATCATGCATCTATCCTCTACTTAAGCAATATCACATGAGCAAGAATGCTGTTGTTCTGAATTTGGCTGTAGTTCCAAATGAAGTCAAAACAGAATTAAACATTACACGTCTCCAAACAACGCAATGTTGTGGTGTTTTGTTTCTTAATCAGGGCTTGACATTAACGCGTGTCTGCTTGGTCCGGGACATGTGGATTTTGTGAAGGTGCAAGTGAAAGAGAATTTTACTTGCCCACCCGGACAAGTAACATGATTAAATTTTGAACATGATTTTTGCTCCATTTCGCTAACGAAAATAGTTCTAAGCAAAGCCACAGCAGAACAATTGCACATCTCCGAGCAACAAACAACAGTGTTTCGTTACTGAATGATTCAGCATTTTTTAACAAATCGGGTGAGTCAATGATTCAGTGAGCCATTCATAAAGACAGTCACTTGCTTCACTCATTGAATGAATCAGCTGTTTGAACAAATCGGTTGAATCAATGACTCACTCATTAAGACAGTGACTTGCCGCCACCTACTGGTGGTTTGGTTTCATATTTAAACGTGCCATTGCATTTTTCCAACATTTCATATTTGTATTTTTAGCATTAATCTTATAACATTATTTATGCATTTGCAATTTTACTGTGTTTACTGTGCATTTATTGAACCTCTTATCTTCATTAAAGCTGCAGTCCAAGTTTTGCCTCTTTGACGCCATCTCTGTTTGAAAACCTGCAATTGCAGCTGTGTGCGGAATTATCTTACTTGCGTGGGTTGTGCTCCGGCACGGCTCCAGCGCGGATTAATCTAATGTTTTGAGGAGTATGTGTGGCAGTCAGTCACGCACCGGTGTGGATATTTACTGTACTTCGCAATCACAGATTCTAGCCTATGTCTTGGAATATGACCCAAATAAGAATTTTCAACATATATTATCATCTGAACAAGTAAGTAACAAGTCTACCACATTTGTTCTGACCAACTGAGGAAAAAAGCATTACAATAAATCGTGCTACCAATGGTGATTTAATCTAAAGATCGGTTAGCTCATATCACATCAAACCGTGCAAATTATTCTTATTGTTATACTTTATTCTCAAATTATTAATGTTAACAACATCAGGATTGCGTGACTATAAGTATAGTGTGTATTAGTGTGTAGATTTCAATTTCTGGACAGTCCAATCTCTAATTGTCATACCATTCGAATTTCATATTAAGAAATTATTTTACCCAAAAAGCAAATTATGCTCCCTTCGAACTGGTTGTCTTTAAAATACAAATCTTGTGTAATCCCAGACTATCTGTAATCAGAAACACGTGATTTAATCTAACGATCGATTAGCTCATATCACATCAAACCGTGCAAATTATTCTTATTGTTATACTTTATTCTCAAATTATTAATGTTAACAACATCAGGATTGCGTGACTATAAGTATAGTGTGTATTAGTGTGTAGATTTCAATTTCTGGACAGTCCAATCTCTAATTGTCATACCATTCGAATTTCATATTAAGAAATTATTTTAACCCAAAAAGCAAATTATGCTCCCTTCGAACTGGTTGTCTTTAAAATACAAATCTTGTGTAATCCCAGACTATCTGTAATCAGAAACACATTTAAAACTGGAATTTAATTTAATTTAAATGTGTTTCATAAACACATAATCCTTTCTGGATTACAATCCGCCATCAAATTGATACATTTAATTATTCTAGCTGCTGTGAGAAAAGGCTACAAATGATCTGCCACCTGCAGGATCCTCACATGCAATAAAGCCTAGTAGCCGGGACAACTTCTTTATGTTTACAGACGTGATGTAATGACGCAGCAGCATGCTCGAATTTCCTGCGAAAACCTACCCGTACCACTCAAATTAGAGACAGATAGACGCGACGAATACGTACAAAAACACTGCGACTCACAAGACAAAAAACACGAAAACACCTTTCTGTCGGGAGAGAGAGAAGCCGCAGCGTGTGAACGCGCCGCCATCTTCGCCCATCTATCCATCCATCCATTGATTTAGGATCATTTTTAACCAAAAAGAGTTACGGACTGCAGCTTTAAACAGTCCCTCCAGGATTTTGCGATTCAGCGATCGCTGAATTTTTCGCAAAATCAAGCAAACTCCGCAATTTTCGCAAGAGCTCGCAAATTTTCATAATTGCTGCAGATTTTGGGCTTAGACGTGTCCCGTGACTTCATCGCAATGCGCATTCAGTCAAAGAAAGGTTCCAAAAATGGAATGAACAGCCTTGCGTTCTCATCATAATTTACAAGAGCTACATTGGACAAACGAACCGAAAGCGGAACGAATCCGTGCTACTCGTTTATCTGCTTGGGCCTATTACCTAACAGAATCCTCAACTGAACAAAGTACACAGATTAGATACATTCATCTTAAAAAATATATATATATATATTTATATTATCACACTTTCTGATGTTTAATAAAATACTTGAATAACATGCTTTCGTCCTCTTGAAAAAGTACAAGCATGCGCAGTATCATCAGCTCATAAGTTCGCACGCATGCGCAGTATCATCAGCTCATCGGTTCTCAAATCGGATGTGTCCGAAAGAAATGGTTCTCGGTTCAGTGTACCGGTGATCCGAAAACCGATGCAACCGGTTCTTGACTCGAGAACAAGAACCGCTAGCAGTGGGCGTGTACGTTCGCTGCACTCATGCTCAGTCTATCAGCTGCTCTGCTCGTGCTCATCCCATCATCAGTTCTCTTTTCACAGCGGTTCAGTCAATGTACTGTTGGAGTAACTGAATAACTCGGGATATTGGTTTATTTCACGCCAGAGGCACGTTTATAAACCGAATAACTTAAGTCATTTGTGGATTAGTGTGTTCTGGAGTCACGAACCGATTCAGTTCGATTTGGTGAACTGGTTTGACCGGTTCACTAAGAAGATCCGGTTAAATAGAAAGATTCGTTCGCGAACCGGACATCACTACACGCGACACCGTTATACACAGCGCTGGGAGATACAGTGAAGAAAGCAGTCGAATTCACCGCAGAATCAATAACATCTCTGTGAAATCTTGTGAGAAGCATTCCCATTCGGCGCAGAATTCTGTTAAAGCTACAGATATCAGAACAAACGCCACTGATGTGGAAACCAGGAAAAACCTTGTTGAATAAACACAAATCACCACCATTCACCATGGATTTAAAACTGAACAACTTGTGGCAGAAATGGTCTAATGTTTTCGAGTGCTTTTAAATGCCTGACACAACTTTTCCCAGCACTTCACAGCTTTAAATATTACCGAATTTAAGTATTGCCCCCATTTATAAAACTAAAAGTTTCATGATGTAAGAAAGCAAACACTTATTTAAAAATAAAAGACATTAAATTACCACTAGTAGATGGCTGCAGAGAAGTACTTATAGGCTTATTAGCCATTTCCACTCCCTAATAAATATTTTTTTTATTTATTAAATTATATTTAGACATTATGAATGACAGTAATAAAAGTTAATTTTATCTGCATCTCAACTACCCAAGACAGCACAAGCACATCTGTAAGACGTCTGCTAAAGATCTGGGAAACATCTGCTGTGTAATCTGATAAACGTCTCAGAAGCTGTTTTACATGCATTCTAAAAAATGTCTATTTGACATCTGACAGGAAACGTCTTAGAGACGTATTGCAGATGAGCAAACACTCTAAAAAATACATCTTGCATATGAAATGCAGACATCAAATAGACAACTCCGAGATGTACATGTGCGATTGGGGTGAGTGCTTTACTGTCAGGTGTTGGTGCCACCTTCTGTAGAACTGGCACTGGTGCTGGTGTCCTCAAATGTTAGTCTGGAGCCCTGCATTGGTTCTCGAAGTCAGAAAAGTCATAATGTTAGAAGAATCTTGTCTGTGGTATATTTTCACTGCAAAAAAATAAGAAATGCCGCAAATATCACCGCAAATTTTGAGAAAAGCCACAGCAAAGTCAGTCATTTTAGGCCACAAAAATCTGAAAAAAGTCCCTGGAAATCTTGGAGGAACTGAGTAAACAGTCTGAGTAAATACATCTAAATGGTACTTTCAATGCAGCTTCTGTGTTTCCTCTGCAGTGGAAAGATGGAGTTTGTTAATACTAATTTCCTTTGAATGGTAACAACCATACAGTGTCTTATTAACTGAATATTAACTTATATAACTGAATGTATTAATAAAATTTAAGAATTTGATGTAAATTATGACACGTACATTTAATAAGGTTTGGAATATATTGCCCTTCATAAAGTAAAAAAATGTCCTAGAAATCAATTTAAGGCAAATGTCACAAATAAACTGTTCCCTCAGTCATTCGTTGCTTAGTCTTGTATTGTGTCACTGCAGTTCTGTGCTCTTGCTTGGACAGACTGCCCTGTGTATGACCTTATGCCTGATTATGGATTACAGTTTTGGATTATTCTGCATTTGGATCCTCAATCTTTGTTTTCCTGTGCAGATCGTGACAAACATACTCTGTCTGTGCCAAAAATGAGAAGATATGTTTTCAGTGGACTTTCAAAATATGCTTTGCTTTGCAAATGAAAATATACCGTAACGACTGTTTTGTTCATTTCTGTTCATTTAGTCAAGTTCGTTTTGCGTCAAATATGATTTTTGAGTCAGCACTGATATCCTCGTGGCAGAGTCCGTGTTTGTCCCAAGTTTGAGTCCCAGCTTGTGGATCTTTCCCAATCCCACTCACTCTCTCTCCCACTTCGCTTCCTGTCAGTATTTACTCTCCCATCAAAATAAAGGCAAAAAGGCCAAAACATCTGGCAAGATCTGGCAGCAACAGCACATTTTTCTGTCTGGGCTAGCAATTTACGGACAGCTTTTCTCACGCATTAAATCACCCACATTGCCAACAAACCAATGAAAATGCCATACAATAATGACAATTCATATCTATATGAATTCTCATGAATTTGGGTGAGCTGTTGTGGGTCCACTCACTTGTATTCAGGGGTGTCCAAACCTTCACCTAAAGGGTCAACGTCCTGCAGAGTTTAGCTCCAACCAACTTCAAAACAGTTGCCTGGAGGTTTCTAGTGAGTCTGAACATCTTGATTAGCTGGTTCAGATGTGTTTAATTAGGGTTGGAGATAAACTCCTCCAAACCTCCATAACCAGCAAAAAATTGCACAAAATTACTGTTGTTTGGCAAAGAAATAATTTACAGACCGTTACATACTTATTCCAAGCATTTTATTATGCAAGCCTGATGTTCCACCTGGAATGACAATGGGATTTATAGTAATGTTAATATTTAGACAGTCCCTGAACTCATTCTTTAAATGGCTTGGGTATGCAGAACATCCGCAGCTTTATGGACTGAATGCCCCTAATGAACAGACTGACAGTGTGTCTGGAAGTACAAACACAGACAAGCAGAGTGACAAAAACAGTATATATTTAAATAAATAAAATCAGTCTTGTAGGACACTGCTTAGTCAATCAAATTACAGGACTGGGACTGTTATGTAATGACAAACGTTCCCCAAAAGTCTTTAGGTTTTTTTTTTCTTTTTTTTTTTTCTTTTTTTTTTCTTTTCATGAGTCAGTTTTAAAAAGCACAACCAATTTTGATCAGTCTTTCAACTTAAAAAATGACATTAAAATTACATTTGACAGGTATGAAATCCTCTCCAAGCCTGAAATTTTGAGATTTCCCAGCAAGTTTTTAAAAGTTGTGTAAGTAGTTTTCAGCTCTATTCACTCCCATCTAATATCTGTCACCCACCTGAAAGATCAGCACACAGACTGATCTGGGATCTGCTCTCAGGACTGCAGTACAGGTAGAGGTGACAAAAGTTAAACACAAAGACTGACTTGGGATCTGCTCTTAGGCCTGAGTGTGACTCCACCAGCTGGCAAACAGTACAAAGCGTGTTTGTTGTGTGAAGAGACTCTGTAATGTGTATGTGAGTGTGTGTGTATGTGAGTGTGTGATCTCCAGTGGGGACGGAAATGAGACAGCAGTGTGTGGGGGATGAACAGAGATGCCTCCTCCACAGCTAATTAACTTCATGCTTGACGGTTTGGTGGGTCCACAAAGTTCTGAGACAGTGAGAGAGAGAGAAGATTTACCTCACATTCAACAGTTGAGATAATCTCAGCTCTGGTTCTGCATTGCCATAAAATGTCTAGACAAGAAAACACTGGAAAGAAGAGAGTGGTGCACAAAACTAATTGAGTGAATTAATAAATTATCTACTGGGACAAAACACTTATGTTTTAATAGAATTTTCTGCCTGTTTATGAGTTGATAATGCAACCAGATTCACGGCATTTTCATTTAAATATATATTTATTTATATTATGTACAAGCTACATCCATCCTTTTCTTTATAGTTCTTAGACATTGGACTGACGGCTGTGTTTTCTATTTGTCGATGTGTGTGTGTGTGTCTCAAAACAGATCGACAAAACAGATGACAAGTCTCTGGAGGAGCGAGGGCGCATCATGATCTCTCTGAAGTACAGCTCTCAGAAGTCTGGCTTAGTGGTGGGCATCATCCGCTGTGCCCATCTCGCTGCCATGGATGCCAATGGCTTCTCTGACCCCTATGTTAAAACGTAAGTCATACCCCCCCCCACTATCATCTGTCCGATTTTCTGTTTTCTGTTTCACTTGTAGTACAATAGCTTTTTTTTCCTGTACCAAAAGCACAATGCAACTGTTTATGTGCAAAAATACTAAAATAATCAGAATCCACATAATTTGCTTTAGTGAAAACATTTCCTATGAAACAGAAGATCCGTGCATGAGTATGTAAATTACAGATATCAAAGGAAATTCAGCTTCCAGTTGCTGAATTTAGTAAAGCTAGTCGACTCAAATCTGTGGTATAACAATAAGACAGGATCTTTTTGTGCATTTAAAGGTGACATATCATGAAAATCTGACTTTTCCAGGTTTTAAGTGCTATTATCTGGTCTCCGGTGCATCTACCAACCAAGAAAACGTGGAAAAGATTAACCCAGTAACTTTGTTTTGCTTTTTTCTGCAAGTGTCTGAGAAAACGAGCGCGTCTGATTTCGCTCCCTTGGTGACGTGGCAAAGAGATCTCATTATAATATTACCGCCCCTTAATCTGTAAGTTTCCACCCACGGCAACGTCATTTTGATTTCGCAAGCGACAACGGTGTACTAATGCCATGGCGAAAGTTTGAGCAAAACATGCTAACTGTTCTGGCTTTGGCAGCACCGACGAGCACAGAACACTGTTTAGAGTCCCAGCCTCAGAGGAGACAAGAGAGCAGTGGATTTATTGATTTATTTACTGAATATTGCTGCTGCCACACAGATCTAAAATAAACATGCGATCCCAGCTGTTTACCTTCACAGACATAACCGACTGTTTTTGTAACTCGTGTGTTTTTAATGTAAATTTGTGTGTGAATGAGAACTTAGTTTTATACTCACATTCTGTGACAGCCGCTTTCTGTACGTGTGCACTCAGAAAACCGTATATCAGAAGTTTAAACTCATATGGTTTATAATGCACGATTTCAGCGCGATAAACATTGATAATCAGAACCAAAACAGATGTTTTTTAGCAGGTACAAGCTGTAATGGCGCAGCTCTATTCTGGAAAAGGGGGCGGGGAGCAGCAGCTCATTTGCATTTAAAGAGACATGCCCGAAAATCAGCGTGTTTCTGCTTCCACTCAAAATAGGCATTTTCAAAATGATATAATAAATGATCTGTGGAGTATATTGAGCTGAAATTTCACAGACATATTCTGGGGACACCAGAAACTTATATTACATATTGTAAAAAGGGGCATAATATGGCTCCTTTAAGTCAGAATACATTAACACTGTTGTCAAAATTACGAATAACGGGTAATTTTTTTTTTTCTTTACCTAGGTTAGATGTACCTAGGGTTGGGTATCGAGAACCGGTTCCATTTTAGAACCAGTTTTTAAATTTCCCATAACCGGGTATTCGATAAGACACGTGCATTTCGATTCCACTTAATGATTCCCCGTTTGCATTCAAATGTGATTTTTTTTATGATTTAAGCGCAGGAAGGGAAAGAACTTGCGCACTGTTTGTGTGCCATGGACACATCTGAAGCGCGAGCACAGAGAACCACAGTCCCGGTGCAGGTTCCCAGCCACTGTTGCCAACTTCTTTCAATGGAAAGTAGTTAAAGCCTGCTTGAAATGTGTTAATATATTTGTTAATATTTATTTATGCTAATGCTAATTGATTTGTTTGTTCCTATTTTATTACTGACTGTTTACTTGTCTTTAACAATTTAATGTTTGAAAGTTATGTTAGTCTAGCTGTTTTTGCTGTGATATTTTTGTTAAAACCATAGGCAAATGTTCCTCTTGTAGGCCTAAGCGTTCTGTAGGCTGCTGATTTTTGCTCATGTTATTCAGCTGCAACAGAATGCTTTGTAAAAAGACAGAATAAATATGTTGGAAATCTAAATGTTCGATTAATTAATTTTTTTGTTGGATTTTTTTTTATCTTATTGGAATCGAAACTAGAAAACAATAAGAATCGGAATCGGAAACGGAAACTGGAATCGATAAAATTCAAATGATACCCAACCCTAGATGTACCACAGGCAATGGGAGGAGTGGTAGATCTGTTGTTGGGTTTGAGTTCAGTGACATTAAAAATTATGATAATGATAAAAACTGTGTAAAATAAATTATGCACAGATAAATTTAATAAATTCAATTATGCATTTAAAAAATGGGGTGAATATTTATTTCATGTTGACTTTGAAGTGCTGATCTGAGGGTGGAGTATCTTGTTGGGTGGATACAAGCTTCCAGATTTGAAAGATGAACATAACTGATGTCCATCTCGTATGCAAATTAATATCAAAATGTTTTTTATTATTTTTTCTTCTTTCTATAATTTGGATAGTAAGAATAAAATGCATATAATAAAAAGAACTAGGTAGGTTAACTGATTACCTTAAAAGTTCTTAACACTTTCTCAGACAACTAGATAGGATGAGACCTGTTTTCTGGTTTGTTCATACGACGTTCGGCATAAAGCCTATCCCACAGGAGTGAGCTTTTGAGCAAGGCACTTAACCCCAAATTTCTGAGGGATTATCCCTGCAATAAATGTACCAATAAATTGCTGTGGATAATTGCCGTTTGCTGAATGATTACCTACAATGTGGATGTATGTATGTGCACATATATATGTTTGTAAGGTTATCCTAAGCATATTCATTTATCCTGCCAAACACAAGCAACCATTAGTCAACGCTTGATACAAATGCAGTTATGTCATAAGCTTAGAACGGTGTCTTTGATAGGGAGAAATGTAAATGTATTTGTATTTTGAGGACTGGAATGTGTTGGGTGAAATGAAGCCTGGTTCTGACTCTACAAAAGATTGAATACTAAATTATTAATTTGTTGTTTCTGCTGGTGACAACAAGCAGTGCAAATCTTCTGTCATTAGTTTGTCTCCATCTGCAGTTTTCAGATCTTGCGTATCTATGCACAGATCAGTTTTCCCGGATTGATATCACTTGATGTTCACCTTTTTGGGAAGTAAATGAAATTGACTTTTTATTCATTTTATCATTTTAAACTGCAGATGCATTTAGTCACAGGAAAAGCTGAATAAAATAGTCGTCCAGAGGCGCCATTACAGGAGCAAATGCCATTCCCTGACAAGAGAGCTCCAGGGAGACTGTTACAATAAGAGGGAAACAAGCCTTTCACAAGTTTCACTTTTACTTTAAATGTCTACTGTAATTTCTGTACTTTCTTGAACAAGATGCGGTTTTAATTTATTTCAGTTTTTCATTCTATTATTCAATGAATTCTTTCATGAATTTGTTTGATTCGTAGATGGATAAAAATACACAATGCCATTGCCCATGCAAATAGCCAGGGAATTTATATTATTGGCTTTACAAAATAAGACACAGGTTGTGATTATTAGGCTGCTGAGTTCAGTGCCTGGATCTTCTTTAATCAGTCTGCTTGTCTGGTGGTCTTTGTAAAAGAGCAAGGGACCCTCATTAAGAGGGATTGCAGGAGTAGAGCAGCAGTGAGACATTTAATGACCTTGAAGTCAGCAGACAAGTGAAGTGAGGTTGCGTTTATTTTTTTTATTATTATTCAAGCAAATGGTGAAAATGTCCTGCAATGAACCTTTGAAATGAATGAGTTTGTCCTTTCATGGCTGTTTCTTTCAGCCCTCCAAATTTTATATACAAGAGCTGCAATGCCCTCTGGTGGACATACTGACTTGTTGCATTCAACAACACTATTCTGCATTTGTTTCAAATGTGTTCACAGTTTTGCTGCCTGTGCATCATAAGTAAGCCTTTGCTAAAATTCAATTATTTCAGAATTATTCCTGTGCCAAATCTTCAGTCTTGAAAGAAAGCCAACTTGACCTTTAGTGAAAGGTCAAACTAAATGCATCTTTTTTCTCTCTCTCTCCATATCACCAATGTATTTCAGGTATCTCAAGCCAGATGAGAACAAAAAATCAAAGCACAAGACAGCTGTCAAAAAGAAGACCCTCAACCCTGAATTCAATGAAGTAAGATTAACCTGACCAATGCCTGATTTACAGACTCTGTAACTCACATTTGTTTTTATAAATACTAATTCCATTCTCCCTATTACAGGAGTTTTTCTATGAGATCAAGTATGCTGACCTCAGCAAAAAGACCCTGGAGGTGACTGTTTGGGACTATGACATTGGCAAATCCAATGATTTCATTGGTAGGACCTATTTACAAAATCTTGTTAAATCTATGTTTTTATCTTTTATTTTTATTTTATATCATTTTTAGGCTATATTTTTATTTTAGTTTTTTGCATTAAGATCTGTTTTTAATGGTATGCTACCTATTGAATGTAGTACCAAAGGTTACTTCATTTTACAATTTAAGATGCAATCCCAGGGCTCAGCAGTAAAGATTTTTTTCTGATTGCCTGGTCAGGCCGGTAGTTCAGACTTCTTCTTGCCCTGCTCACATTTTCACAGGACCCAAATTATAAATGTAATTTTTAATGAACTTAGCGATTTTATATTTACAATAATTTTTCATTTCTTATTGTAACTGTATCATTTTTACATTGTTTCATTAAAGGGCCCCCTATTATGCTAAATTCACTTTTACATGGTGTTTGAACATTAATGTGTGTTGGCAGTGTGTGTACACAACTACCCTATAATGATAAAAGTCCACCCACTCCTTTTTTTCAATCCCCATAAATCATAAGCAGTCTCTGAACAATCAGATCGCAGAATCTGTACAAAGTGGCACGGCTGTTGACGGAGACTGCCTTATAGAGACAGAGGGCGACACGCGTCATAATCTGAAAACCACGCCCACCGGGGGGGAAAACAATCCAACCCTCTCCATTGAATTTGTATTGCGGGAAGCTGCCTCCTTGTCATTTCTGGTTTATAACAAAAAAAGGAACAATGTCTAAAAGCTGCTATGTGACAAGGTGTACAGCAAACAAACTAAAAAACCCAGAACTCAGTTTTTATAAGCTGTCGATCCAAAAAAAACGAGCGTTTAAGGACACAAAATTAGAGCGCAATGTGTTATATTACTCTGAGAACTACGCCCACTGGAGGGAAACGTAATCGGCGACAGGAAACATTCATTATTTGATTAGAAACAAATACGTGCAAATATAAAAAATGTATCAAATAGTTCATATTAAAGGGGTCATATGATGCGATTTCAAGTTTTCCTTTCTCTTTGGAGTGTTACAAGCTATTTGTGAATAGATAAGATCCCTAAAGTTGCAAAGACTGAAGTCTCAAACCCAAAGAGATATTCTTTATAAAAGTTAAGACTCGTCCACGCCCTCCTAAAACACCTCGTTTAAACACGCCCCCACATGTCTATGTCACTGTGTGGGAAGATTTGCATAACGCTGCCCAAATGTTCACGCAAAGAAAGAAGGCGTAACTTTGATTCTCGCTGTAGTATTCTTGCTGCCGCCATGTCGTGGAGACGCTGTTTGTTTTGTTGTGAAAGCGAAACTACTTTGTTTGGCCTTCCAAAAGAGGACACGACTAATAATCAGTGGTTAAGTTGTATTTACAACACTGTTCCAGAACAATTTAACCCATATATTCATGTGTGTGCAACGCATTTTACGGAGGAAGAGGACTGTTTCCTGGGAGAGTAGCCTACAATGCCAGTTTTCTGACAAATAATGCTGACTCACAGACTGTAAGTACGTTTTCATTAGGGCTGGACAATAATTCAATATCAATATGTTATCGCGATATAATTTTTTTCAATAACGGTGATATGATTTTTAAACACATTTCCGATATTTCGATATACATTACCAGTTTCCCATACATTGATTTATTTGTGCCGTTTGACTTCGTTGAATAAACATGAGCACTGCACGTTTCAAAATCATAACACGGCGCGGGTGTTTTATATGAATGTATCTCTGAAGGGAATTGACTGTCTTCAGAAAAGTTTCGATGGCATTTTCATTTGATCTGATAAAGTAGCATTCATGAGCGGAGCTGCTTTGATTACAGCCATTACTGGAGAAACCGCTAGTTTTATCACTCTAAAAGCGCCTCCTGCTGGCAGAGAAT